GTAGCCCCCTCCCACCTCCCCCCTCCCCCCACCGCTATGGTCGAAGCAGAGAGTGACAAATGCTTGTTTGGCCTTCTACGATGGTCGATTGTTTAGCTTGCACGACCTCACGTCCACGTCACGTTTTTTGTATGATTTCATATCGTGCTATTTATGCAAAACTCTTTTGTGTCATCCTGGCATGTTACTTAATTTGAATACATCTTCAGATGTACAATTTTAACCAATTCGCAATGGAGTTGAATGAGTTGGAACCTGGCGTAGCTCCTACAGACTCTCGTCTTCGTCCGGATCAGCGCTTGATGGAACTTGGTCGGTGGGACGAAGCCAATGTCGAAAAGGAGCGTCTTGAAGTGAAGCAGCGCCGCAAACGCAAAGCTTGGGATCTTTTCGAGGCTGGAAGTTCGTGTGTTGTTTTATCTACTTACGATTAAATAAGTAGATGATATTTGTTATTGTCATTGATCACGTCTCCATTCAGAGGAGCCCATCAACCCCGAATTCGGACCACCCTACACTCCTGTTTGGTTTTCACCGATTCATGACGAATACACTGACGAAGACTGCCACGAGTTCAACGGCACCTACTGGGCAGCAAAGGCGAAGCAAGACTGGTCAAAGTGTCCTGACATCTTCTAGTCTTCCTGCTCCTCCACGCATCGACGCACACCCGGGGTGTGTCTGGCTGTGATCAAATCAGGTGTTTTCTTGTGCGAAACCGTTCCCCGTTCTCATGGCTTCTTCCGCGACGCTTATTTTTGCTACTCTGTATCCTCTACTTGCTATCGCCCCATCTCGCTGATGCAGAGGAAATGAGCACCACTCCCTTGTGTTTTTAGCCCCCTCTCCCCATCATAGTGTACACAGTTTTTCGCCAGTCACTGCCGCGATTCTCTGGACTGCTTTCCATATGCTTATTTACTTATATACACATGCGCGTACGTGTGTATCTGTACCTTACCAAACCAAGTCTTTCGTCTGCGTTGATTTCTTTCATGCTCCACCCCGAACCACGTGTGGCTCCCCACTTCCTCACTCTCTCTCTCTCTCTCGCCCACAAGAAACATTTCGATTCTTTCTCTCGCCTTACCTAGTAAACTGATGTATACACGATGATTCCTGATCTCTTCTATTTCTACTGCACCATTTCAATCATGCTTTCCCTACGGTTGTTGGTGAGGCGCAGGTGAAGATAAATATATGCCAAAAGCAATTGTGAAAATTGATTGGTTTAGCAAGCCAATAAGCTCTGTACCGAGCACACAAAAGCTAAGGATGTCGTGCCGCTGGTGGTGGTGCAAATCTTGTGCTCCAGAAATGTGGAGATAACAGTTGTGGATCGTCGTTTCTGATCGCGCAGTGGCAATAGATGCAGCCTTATTACGCGGTGTTTAATTGGTTTTCTCATTCAATTTTAAACAAATAGGAACCCAATTTATCTAGGTACCATTATATTCGAACTAAAAGTGCGCGGTGCTTTAAGTCAAGTGACATGAATTCACAAGTCCCTGGTTATGGCAGGTGGGTTTCTACTATACTCCTTGCTTCGGTTGCACGTAAGTATTACAAATTCTCTGGATGCAGATATCCAGTGGTAGCTTTTAACCAAGCCCTTGCTTCCTTGCTTAGAATTTTGTAATATTGATGCACAACTAGCAGGCCTTTGTGTAGGCTAAGTTTGGGAACACGAGAGTTTGGTTTCTTGAGTGACAATGATGGTGCACCATTAAATAAAAGGGAATTCCTTCGCTTCACCGATGTGTCCTTTTTCAATGACTTACAATTTCATTTATAAAAAACATTTTCAGCATCTGACTTTTGCTAACACCTGGTGTTCGCGGACGGTTCCGATCAGTTCCTGATTTATCAAAATCGAGTTGTAGCACGCATGTTTGGGGTAGCAGTTTAGTTATCGTTGATTGTTTAACGAAGCCCCAACAACAAGATTAAGTGCACTTTGACAGCGTGGTTTCCTTGTGAGATCGCGTTGCACGGAAAGGCAGTCGACTGCAGGCGTCCGCCCAGTGACCCCGGTGCCGAAATGTGATAGTGGGTCTCCTTGTTCCACTGCTTGCGTACACAAGGGATCAAGATCAAAATTTATGTTATGAATTATGTACGATTGAAACATGTGGCATTCTGCATACATAGGTGGCATTCAGGCAACCAGATTAGTCTATGGCGGAATAAAAACAGCACAAGCACCTAGTTAGCAAACATATTGTGCTTTTTCTAGATGCATGCACAAATCCTAAATGTGTAACGCTGTCAAGTTCTAGCTTCCCATCTCTAAGAGAATTTTGATATCGCATTTGTGTGACAAACTCATCATGGTTTCACTAGTATGCAAGCAGGAATTTTCATTTGCGCTTTTGAATGAATAACTTGCGGGATTTGGAGAACTTTTCATCACGTTGGAGCCACCAATTGTGGGCACCAGAATGTGGTCTTGGACCACGCCGGGGCCACTGCGTTGAATTTGGCTCGTCTACGGAGAGGACGTGGACACAGCCGTTTACTTCTGAGCCCAACCACTTCGGTGTCGCTGTGTCGTGTGTGGCGCTTACACGTGTGTATTTATACATCAGATGTGTGAGTCATTGATGAGCTAACATCGAGGCCTATGTATGAGGCTAATCCAGGCTAAATGTTCATGCGAATAGGGGAGGGGAGTTTTGGAGCCGCGCTGCTGGTGACATGCTGCGAAAAGAGGGACCCTGTGTCGGAGGCTTGGGTGATCGGGTTAGCGAGTGTGAATCAACGCAATTCACAACAGTTCTCCGCCTTAGAGAGAGGATTCGGCAAACCTTCCATCCAATGAGGTTTCTGAAAGCTATGCCATAGATTTTGAGTGATTGTGATGCGACCATCGATGTAGGTTGTACTTATTTTTTTTTAACCTAATTTGATGTTCATCCAACTGATCTCCTAGTGAATAAAACTTCGGTGGACTCTACGACGCATGCCTTCCCCGTGGGGCCTAATAATCACAGGTCATCATTTTATAATTGTTTACCACGGTCACGACTGTTATGAGAGATCGGTTTTATTAGCGAAAAGTGCCAGATACTTTCATAAGACTCATCTAATACGTCGTCAGTGTACCTGAGATTTGTGGACTCATCTCTAGCTGACCGGACGTCTTTTCCCCAGGAAGGCTCGATACCCAGTGACTTGTACTACAGTAATGTGAAGCCCTTTTCAAAATGGTGCATCAGTTGTCTTTTGACTGGCCATTGGCCCGCACCGGAGCTTCGCAAACTTCTGCGTGCGGAAGTGAGTGGAGGTCACTCTCTACTATCTACTAATGCTGGGGTGCCATACCTATCAGATATAGTACATTATTTACCTCATGACCCAGTTATTGGATGCAAAGAAATTTTTTTCATTGGCTATCATATTTGCTCCGAAAGATGCTATTCAAGTCGTTTCCTGTTGCTAGCTACATGAACATAAAATGTTTGTAAAATATATGACCCCGTGCGTCAGTGTTGGCCTTCTATAACCAAACGTTTTGTTAGCCTTAATTTTTCATGTGGAGTTCATCAAAGAAGAGGACAAACAATGCCTTCTAATAACTTACTCCCATTGCAAACTTTCCTGAAAATAATGATTGTTGAATTTGAAAAATCGACCTTCTACATTGCTAAATAAGGCAATGTTCTAGACAGAAATAGACTCACTCTAGTTCGTGTTATTGTGTGATGCGTTTTCCCTGGCTAAATTGAAAGTGACAAATGTAAAACTACAAAACGGGGAAAATTTTGCCCAATGCATTCAAGCTAAACGGTTTTCTACATTTTTTTAGTAAGTTGATGCAGGGGCCGAGCATTTAGACGCCCTCATTTGTGGTGTGAAAACAACCTGACTTAAATCTGGACCCTTAATTGGGCATTTTTATGTCACGCGTTCGAGGTAGAACAGGTCCCTCGTAGCTGGTGACTTGTTGAAATGTAAATGCTGTGCACGCCCACTGGAAACACTCACGTTATCTGATGCCATGTGCTTTTTTTAAACAGCGCTGCAGTTTTAATGATATTTATAGAACTGAGACAGAACGCAAGGGAAAGTAACAGCGCCTCACTTTGCATAGCCATAAGGACCAGTCAGAATATAAAAATTAGATATTGCTTTTTGTTGAGGATCGCATTTTTATAGTTTCTGATGTCTAATTATTTAATCGATACCAATTTTAACGAAGGTCATGTTCACGAATAAAAACCTTCTTAATCATGACTATTTTTAGATAAGAACAATGCAATCTTTCCACTCCTACTATCACTTGCGATCCCGAGCGACAGCCGATAGCAATCAATCAACTGCCACACACAATTTAGGTTCCCATAATTATTGCACACATTTATTGCGCTATTCTAGATCTTTCAGTTTAAGAAGACGACGAACATCGAAGCCAGCCGATCCTACTAACACCGTTGTTGTACCGATAAGAAGAAAGGAGCCTTTCAAGAAAGCGCTGACAGACCTCCTTGCGTCATTTTAACTCAAAATAAACTTTTATCATTGTATTGCCTTCTTAGGGATTGTTTGTGTTCAAGCGGATATTGTGTTTCTGTCTTCCTTTTCGATTCATGCAAATGTACAATTTTCTGAATGACTAAGTTGCAATTATAGCGCCATCGTTCGGATTTTGCCGAAAATAGTGTCTATATCTCGCATTTTCACCAGGTTACCTTAACGGATTGTTTATCACAGTGCACATAAATATTGTCCCCTATTTTTAATGACAGATCTTCTCGATGTGTGTTACAGTCAGTGTTTGAGGAATTCCTGTGAACGCACACGGTTCTAATTCACAACCAATCCGTCTTTCATCTCGCTCGCGTGAGAGGCTCTGCGTGCAAGTTCTAAACAACAAGTTAATTACGACTTCAATTTCTAATTAAAGTTCGTCAGTGACACGGAACTTGAGCTGGTTTTCTCCAAATTCGGTTTTAAAATGGAATAGAACAAAATGAAGGCTCTGCTGCGAATCAAAATTAATAGACTGATGGACATGACGAAGTTATCAGCAAAAAAGCAACGAAAAAAGGACTTTATGTCAATCATTTAAACAAAAGTCTTGCTATCTAATTCAGGTTGGTTCCATCAAATTTTATGAACAGGCCTAACTATAATTTTTTTTCTCAGTTCCTCACAAGAGTTTTCCACATGCTGCGGATGCACATTACTCAAAAGTCAGTATCATCATTACTTAAGCAGGGAGGGTTTAAATGTGTTTTTTTCCTCAATTTTTTTTAAAATAGACTTTTAACTGCAAATTTGTGCCTATGACCAACTGATGACACCCATCGGATGGACTTTTAATGTTTAATTTTTTTTGTTTGCACATTGGCATCAAAATATGTGTAGTAGATAACTCGTCGAACGCAAAATTCTGGAAATGTCAGCTTAACTTAACAAATTTACAATTAACTTGCATAAATTATCCCCAAAGCTTTGCTTATTTAAATTATGCACATGAGTTCTAGTGTTTGAGCTCTAAAAAATACCTCAAGTCCTAATCGTATCCGATTATCGAGGTGGTTTTAAGGACACATTTTCTGTAATCTGCAGCAGGTCCTAGTTGGAAATAAAATTAGCATCCAACAGGAAGTAAATAAAAGCGATGATTACATGCT